ATCCTACGATAAAATAACTACGACAAGATATTCAACTATTGAAAGATCGCCGATAAACGTAAATCAGTTCCATATATTGTGAGAAAATTATTTGTGGCCGTATGTTGCATATCCATATCTAATTCAATGGTCAAAAACAAGGAAGATTATTGAATTATCTAATTATTAATAAATTTATAAATAGATAGTCACAAATGAGTCATTCAATTAATTAAAAATAAAATCTAAAAATGAAATTTATTTGAGTTTTGGGCATCTCAAATATTGGGGTCCATTCGATGAACTGATCGATAAAAATATTTCAATTGATGAAAGGAAGAATATATCTTGAGAATGAGATCATCTGATAGTAGACGACATAAATCGATGTTCAATAAATTTAAAAAGATAGAGTGATTTTATAAATTTTGAGATATATTCTCAATAATTTAATCAGTTGAATTTAACTCAATTAAATATTAATTACGATTAACATGTTGAAGCATGGCCTGATTGTTATAAAAGTTAATTGAGTGATTTAATCATAGTTAATATTTAATGATCTAGTGACTTATTTATGACAAATGAATAGTTAAATGACTTCATTATAAGTTCTTAAAATTGATTGACCTATGTATATTCTAACTAATAACTGGACGTCATATTAAGTAATTTACCCTTTCTATTACATTTGACTCGACATGCTTCGGTTTTTTCTTTTATAAATTTCAATAATATTAAGGGTAAAGTATATAAATAGTTCCCAAACCTTTAGGACACTTGCATTCTAGTCACTCAACTTTAAAAAATTACATTATAATCATCAAACTTTTAGTTCGTTTTTATTTTGGTCCCTATCGTTACCTCCTTAACTCCCATTAACTTTCCTTCTTCTCCGGGTTATTTTTTCTTCTTCTTCTCCATAGGCATTTCCTTTGATAATGGAGAAACAAGTGTTGAATCCAACCCCGTCAACCCCTTTTTCTTCTTCTTATTGTTCTCAAGCTATATTGAATATGGTATGTTTCATTCTGGTTAATTTTATTACCCTTCAGTTTAAAGTTTTTATTTTCAATCTTTGATATGTTAAAAACATTTTTGATATTTCGATATAACAAATTAAGTTAAATGAATTTTAAGATTTTTACAAATGATTTTACAATTTATATTCGATTCAATTTATCGAATATCAAATTATTACTCCAAGTCTTTGAAGATCAATTTTAATCCTTACTAAATGTGTAAAATTGTGATTTGTACTTAAACTATTTTTGAAACAATTTTTCAAAGTATTTAAAACCAAAATCAAGCCTTAAATCAATTTTTCAAAGGCATGCACCGATGCATCAATACCATGCATCGATGCATCAATGAATAAATTGAAATATCGAATGCATTCCATGCACCGATGCACTCTCCATGCATCGATGCACTCTGATTTAATTAAAACATCGAATGCATTTGATGCATCGATGCACAATCCATGCATCGATGCACCAGGCTATTTTTCAAACATCGAATGCACTTCATGCATCGATGCACTCTTAGTGCACCGATGCACTAGGAGTCCAACGGTCAAAATATTTGAAATTTTACACTGCTGCACCGATGCATAATGGTCATGCATCGATGCATGAGACGCTCCCACCCAGAAAATTAATTGTTTTCACACAATAACGGCTCTATTAACTCCACTAATTATCACCAACGTTCAGAATTGATTCAAGGAGTATTTAAACAAGTTTAGAAGCCATTGATCAACAACAAGAAACATCAAGCAATTAGAATCAAGAGAGAATCAAAGAGAAAGCATCAAACCTCAAGTTTGAGCATTTCAAGCCTATTTTTCATTCAATATTCATTTTGCTTTCAAGAACACTTATTGTGCTCAATTGTATTTATTCTTGAGTGTTTTTTCTTTGTTCTAGAATTGTGCAAACATATTTGCCTTGTGAGGTTTTACTTGTAAGTTTGCAAATTTGTATTTCTCTTTGAGAAAAGAGTGTTTTCAAGAATTGGGGTATATTCTTGAGGGAGTTGTAAGGTTATCTCTTTGGCCTCAAAAGAAAGAACAAATTAGTGAATTTGTTGGAAAATCCTTAGTGTGGATAGCTAAGGTAGTGGACGTAGACTTTGGTTGATAAAGTCGAACCACTCTAAATCGCTATGCAATTTCTTTCAATTTTCTGCAAAAGCTTCCACCAAAATTTGTATTGCCAATTCACCCCCCTCTTGGCCGATTCAGTCAATCGATTAACTCAATATGATAGCTCTAAGATTAGGGGTTTTCCCCTTTATTGTATGGGTATTTATAAGAATGACGAGATATTTTCTGGAAATTGAAAATGAGTTTTTGATTCATTATATGGATAAGGTTTATGGGATGTTGAGGTTGTTTTCCCCTCTCTGCAATTATAAAGAGAGAAAAAGGTAGCTTATTGTCATTTTAATGGTGAAAAAGAAAAAATGTTATTGGATTTCATGAGTAAATTTGGTGTGTGAAATTTGATTATTATTTCATTGCAGGTTTATGGTACCAAAATAGTATTCTTTTCTAGTGATTTGTTGTTGAAATTTGTTGGAAATTTGAAGTTTTACATATTTGAGTAAAAACTTAGATCTTGATATTTAAGGCCAAACAATGGATCATAAAGACAAATGTTTCACCATTTTCCCCCTTGGGGATATCTATCTAACTAGCCAAATCGAACATGCCATAATCAAACGCAAAAACTTAAAAGATACATGTTTCATCATGTTAGATTTCATGGGTAAAGAGAAAAAAAAGAATCATGAATGTGTTGACTTTTCATTTTTCTGATCCCATTATTCTATTTTGCATGAACGTGCATACTCTTCATTTTTTTTTTATTATATTATTCTCTTTTACAGGTTATGAAGAAGAAGAAGAAGAAGGAAAGGGGGAGTTAACAGGATTAAGCGTCACGTTAGTAAAAACTAACGGGAGGTAACAACAGAGACCAAAATGAAAACGAACTAAAAGTTTGATGACTGTATTGCAAGTTTTAAAAGTTAGGTGACCAAAATACAAGTGTCCTAAAAGTTCAGGATGATTTATATACTTTACCCTAATATTAATCCTATCTAAAGGAGGAGAATGAGAAATTGTAGAAAGAGAAAATAGACTATTTTTAATAAATTTAAAACTCATGCTCTAAAAATATATAAAATAAATAAATAATTTAATTAATCTATCAAATATACTTATTTTATTTCGGTTTTGTTAAAGCATCGTACGAATATTATCGAGCACGCGGGACTCAATCTTTACGTGGACATTATTAAATGTAGGCTACGTATTCTTTACAATAAAGTCTAATCATAGCATAGGTAAATAATTATACTTAATTTGCTTGTACTCGTGCTCTTTTAGGTCTGCCAAACACTAATTTACTATTCAAGTTTGTTAAATAAATTTGGATTAAATTTGTTGGGTATTTGAATCAGACATTATTTTCTAAATCAATATCTAAAATTTTTATTTCCAACTTATCTCTTAAATTAAGCATATTTCTAAATCAGTTTTGGTCCGTTTTAACATATAAACTTTTAACTTTTTTAAAATCATACATAAAGTATAGTTTTTGTTTCATTTTAGTATTTCTGTTCAAAAGTTAAATTAAGTTTTGAAGAAAAAATGAAAGTTTAGGTACTAAACACATTAAGTTTTTAACAACGGGTACTAAAATGAAACAAAAACTAAATATTATGTATGCTTTTAAAAAAGTTGAAAGTTGATCTATTAAAACGAACTAAAATTGATAATTTAGGTATAAGATACTTAGTTTACCCAAATGTTAATAAAAATATCAAAACAATAAATTAAATTAAAGTTTGGATATTAATTTAAGAATAAAAATTATTTAAGTACCAATTTAAGAAAATGTATCTAATTCAAATACTAGTAATAGAGTGAAAAAATAAATATAAATTTAAAATAATATTTATTTTAGATAACAAATATATATATAAAACAATAAACAGTCCAATAATTTACAAAACTTTTGAGTTAATAGGTAAAAATATTTGTTTAAGGGTTCAATGTATAGTAAGGAGAGACATTATTATTATTATTATTATTATTATGGTCTTTATTTATGTATTTAAATAAATTGAATAACAAAATCTTAAGAATATTATAAAACAATATTTAATTTAGATATAAAAAATATATTTAAATCAATAAAAAGTCCAATAATTTACAAAGCATTTGAGTGCATATGTAAAAATATTAGCTTAAGGGTTAAATGTATATTAATGAAAGACATTATCATTATTATTTTTAGTATTTATTTATATATTTTAAATAAATTGATTACTAACGTTGTCGATTTGTGACAAATCAGTCACTCAACGTTAAGAGCAGTTAACGTGGGTGACGAAAAGTTGACGTGGCAATTTAAATTGGTGACCTAACATCATTTACCACATGTTTGACTCCCTCAAACTTTTGACAAGCATTTTTCTGATCTCTTCTTCTTCAAGTGATAATACCATAACACAATCATCGTAAAAATGTTACAGAATGGAGGATTTAATACCTGCACATGTAGGCTGATGATGCTTCACAAGTTAGGGTGGTTTCCGACCACTATCTATTGTACCGAACAACTTTGCAACATTTTATGGTGGTTGTGTTATGGTATTATCATTTGAAGAAGTTCGGAGAGTCAAACTTGTGGTAAAATAGTGTAATGCCACTAATTTAATGTGCCACATGAGCTTTCCGTCACCCACATTAATGGTTGTTATCATCGAGTGATTGATTTGTTAAAAATCGATGACGTTAGTGATCAATTTGTTACAAATCAATAATATTAGTGAACAACTTGTTTCTTTTGAAAATTCAATGGGGAAAACAAAAACTTGCCCAAGCACTAGTGACTATTTATGTAGTTTACCCTTAATTAACCCATTTTATATCTTGTTCACTCAGTTGAACTCGAATTATGAGTCCAAAAGTTTGATTATTCAAATACCAACGCGCGTTGACGGGTTTGGTTCGGCTTTAAATGAAAGGAGGGTAGGCCATTTTCCCTCCAACTTGTCCCCCGGGAAAATTTCAAATTCCAAGTCCTCTCCCAAACACTAAAGCAATGCTCTCAAGATCATCGGCATCCCAGCTTACAAACCGCGCCGTCGCGGGCGCCGTTGACGAAGACGACGATTTTCAGGTTCTCCCAACTCAAACCCTTTCAGCTTCCTTAAGATCTACCTCACGCAAAAACCCCCTTAAACCCTCCAACACTCCTCATACTCCCTTCAAGAAACGCAAACGCTCCGCTAATCCAGGAAAAGAAAACGCCGTCGTTTCCACCATTCCGGAAACTAGATCCGACGATATCACCGATCTGGACGATACTTGCGGCCTGGATCTAATACCTTCCAGCATGGATTGTAGTGTGGAGTTGAATTCTGCTCAAAATATGGAATCTGGAACTGTAAAATGCGACGAGAAGAAAAATGAGTCATTGGAATTGAATAAGGGTTATTTGTGTAATTCAATAGAGTCGAGATTAATAAGGCCGGTATCGGAATTAAGCGAGGGATTCAGTGAACATTGTGAAGAAGATAACGAGCTTGATGAGTTACTTAAGCTATGCGACGAAGTGAAGGAAGAAGAAGAGTCGCAAGAAGAAGCCAATAGCATTGAAGAGGAAAGAAATGGTCTAGACAACGATTCTGTTCCGTGTCCGCTTTGTGGGGTTGATATTTCGCATTTGAATGAAAAGCAGCGTCTGGTTCACACCAATGATTGTCTCGACAAGGTGGAGAATCCGGCTCCTACAGTAAGTTCAATAATAATTTTCTTATACATTAAATTTATAGTAATGTTTATTTGACATGCTTTGTTACTGTAACAATGGTTTTCCGCAGGTTGTTGTTCAACCTGGTGTTGATAAAGAGCTTCATTTCCTTCCTGAGGTTGTGAATGTTCCCCATTTGTCTCCTCGACAAGCTGTTGATGTCTCCCCTGTTGTTAACTGGCTAAATGATCTTGGATTAGCAAAATATGCTGAAACTTTTGTCCGAGAAGAGGTTGATTGGGATACTCTAAAGTGGTTGACCGAAGAGGTATGCTGCTTAGATTGTCACTTGGGTACTCGTATAGGGTATATATAGTTCCACATGGGGCTCTAGAAAATTTTCATTGTTCTCCCTTTATTTTGTGTTTCCAAGTTTGATATTTGTATGAACACATAATAGAAAAATGAACAGGCATAGCATAAGGTTCACTATTCTGTCGCTCTAAAATGAATGTGGATAATAAATGATCCTTGAGGTAATATAACGAAGATACTATTGTTAGACGACTATCCATGACAAGCATGAGGGGTTACTAAATAATATGAATTTATGATCGGAAATTTCATAATGTTCCGTAATCATGAACGATAGTTAATTGTTCTGTATAATATGAAGCCATCTTTATGGTTGGTCCTAGAATTTCATACTTTACAAAAACTCTCCTATCCTCGTTTTTCTTCATTTTTGCAGGATTTGTTAAACATAGGTGTTACTGCACTTGGCCCTAGGAAGAAGATTGTGCACGCTCTTAGTGAACTCAGAAAAGAAGGTTCCCATCCAGCTGAGTCACATGTGAGTCATCCCAGTCATGAAAGCGGATCAGCCAGAAGCAACAGACGAAAGATGCAAACTGGGCTTTCTAATGTTGCAGACGATGAAACAACTAAGCCAGCTGCAAACAAGTTAATTACAGATTTTTTTCCTGGCTTGGTTTCTGATAGGAAGAAAGTTTGTGCTCCACCAAGAGGACAGCATTTATCAGGCAAAGGACAGCAAACATCAGGCAAAGGTCAACCAAATTCTGGTCGAAGGCCAGTGCAGAAAAATCATGTTAAAGATGGAAAACTTAAAAATATTCCTTCATGGTGTTGCATTCCTGGGACACCATTTCGAGTGGTAATGGTCCCTATACCATAATTTCTTTCATGGAGCTATGTGATAGCTAACTGAATCAGGCTTTAGAAGATATATTTAATAATTTCCTCCATAGTGTTTTGATATTTATGATTTTTTTGGGTGGTTCTCATGTTTGTTCTAATTTACATTTTCAGGATGCTTTCAGATATCTCAGAGGAGATTGTTCCCACTGGTTTCTAACACACTTCCATATGGACCGTAAGTTCAATGACAATTTTCTTATTCAGTATATTCTCAAATATGCAGCAGGAAGCTACTTTTATATTGTGATAGCCAGCTTTGTATTTTCATATAAGTTCCTATTAGAGAGGTGGTCACTAAAATTGAATTTCTAATAGTTGCAGACTCGCAGCAAGGATAACTTTATTCTTATATTCTGTGATTATGCGTATTTTTTTTTACAGCCATTCTATAGGAGACACCCAACTAAACTGTTAGGCTGGACTGACCTGCTACGGTGTATATATATTTACTTAATCGATTTTATGCAAAAGTGAACTGAATAGAATCTTTTCCATTATGCCTTTACCTTTCAATGTCTTATACTTAATGAGCAGACAAATCCATGTTCATTCTATTCTGTCTTTATATTTGATAGTGCAACAACTCCATTATCCTGAACACTGTTATATTGCAAGATTTTTATCCTTTCATTCATGGACAATAATATGTTTTATCCTCTTCTTCCTTGGCAGATTATCAAGGTTTAACCAAGTCTTTTCGTCATGGTAAAATTTACTGCTCCTCAATCACAGCACGGCTTGTAAATTTGAAGCTTGGAATCCCATGGGCGATGTTGCAAGTTTTACCTCTCAATCAAAAGATCAATATTTCTGGTATTTACATAACATGTCTGGATGCAAATCACTGCCCAGGATCCATCATGATACTCTTTGAACCACCAAACGGTAAGGTGTGGTCTTCACCGAATTCTTGAGACATTTTGTAATCATTTTGCAAATTGCAATTAATTTGCCCTTTTCTCCCTCTTAAACATGTCTGCATTTGTTTATGTATCCAGGCTGTTCTACACACAGGAGATTTTCGCTACAGTGAGGAAATGGCAAGCATGTCTATTTGGAATACCTGTCCCATAAATACTTTAATCCTTGATACAACTTACTGTAACCCTCAGGTTAGGCTTTGTATCAATAATTCCATTGCCTTTGACAATAATTGGTTGCTCACTTGCTCTTTAATTCTATGTTTGGTATTTTTAAACTGGATGCGGCTCTAGTATTGATGATTGTTTCATGATTATTTTGTTTGAGATTTGCTTCTGTGCTGTAGATCAGCTAATGTACGTATTAACTTATGGAAATCTCCTCTCTTCTCGTTTAGTTCTCTATGCCAACATGAGACCAAGTTCACATGTCTACAGTCGACATGTTTACACGTACAATCTTCGAATGCAAGATTTTATATTTTATGTAGTTTTCTTTAACTTTCCATAGAATATATTTCTCATCGATAACTAAATAAGATTTATTTCTCATGCCATGATGTCAATCAGTATGACTTCCCAAAGCAAGAGGATGTAATACAATTTGTCATCGAGGCAATCCAAGCAGAGACTTTCAACCCAAAGACGCTATTTCTAATCGGCAGCTATACAATTGGTAGAATTTCCACTTCCTTTTCTTTGACTTGCACAAATACATGCTTTCACCTCTGGTGGATATATATATTAAATAAAGCCTGCACTTATAACTGTCTCTGGTTTTATAAAACAGGAAAGGAGAGGCTATTCTTGGAGGTCGCGTGTGTCCTTCGTAGAAAGGTTTACATCACCGCAGCAAAGCTCCGTCTATTGGAATGCTTGGGGTTCTCAGAGGAAGACATGCAGTGGATCACATCTAATGATCAGGAAAGCCAGATCCATGTTGTCCCTATGTGGACACTTTCAAGCTTCAAACGACTGAAACATGTATCTAATCACTATGCGGTGAGGAACATCCAATATTTTACCTTAATTCTTTTCTTTCATGAGATAAATATACGTAATGAGAAATGAGTTTGCTGCAACATTAGAAATATTTTGTTTAGTTTCTCATTGTCAGTCTTCTTCTCAGCGTCGGTTCAGTCTAGTGGTTGCTTTCTCTCCTACGGGTTGGTCCTTTGGTAAGGGCAAAAAGAAGTCTCCTGGGAGAAGGTGGCAGCAGGGTACCATCATAAGGTATTTCTCTCATCCATATCTGTTGGTAAACAAAGTCTAATTCAACTAATAATATGAAGCTGCACTGCACTGGAATACATATATTGTAGGCATAAGGGTACCAAAAGCATCAAACTTTTAAGAAAAATAATAATTAAGCCCCTGGACAATTTTTTCTATTTACTTCAAAATTCCATTCATTCATTCATTCATTCATTTGATGACCGCTAAACCTAACAGTTCTTTTTGAATCCGTTATGCTACTTGTCATATCATAGTGTTGTCAAATTTCAATATATCTTTTTCAGAAGCTTTCTTTAAAAAAATTATAAATTCTGCGTGGCAGAACCATATTGTATCATGTCACATTAATAACATAGAAAAAACTGCTAAGGCTTAACAATCAAAACTGCTTAAAAAGTTTAATTAATTCAGTTTCTCGATTTGAGGACTTCATTGATTCAATTTCTTGATTTGAGAGTTTAATTGAGGGTAAAAAAAGGTTCAGGGACTTAATTGATTATTTTCACAAGTTTGAGGGCTTTATACACCCTTAAACCAAAAATATATGTATTTAGAATATCAAACCTTTCTACTCATGTGACCATAGCCAAATATGTGTCCCCATCACAAGTACCAAGCACAGATACTTTAGAGAAAATGCAGTGTAAGCAATGTAGGGTCTCATTTATCAGAATTGATGCTATTTTCCAGGTATGAAGTACCTTATAGTGAACACAGCAGCTTCTCAGAGCTCAGAGACTTTGTTAAACTTGTATCTCCAGAAAACATAATACCAAGTGTCAACAATGATGGGGCAGATTCTGCTAAAGCCATGATATCCCAGTTGCTCTCTTGATTTGTTCTCCACTTTAATCTCTCAAGCAGCCGCATTATGTCTTTTGCAAGGTAAAACCAATTTATACTTTTAACATATTATCAATTGTAAAACTATTTAAGCATGTCTTATATAGCTCATAGATGGAATAAGAACCGTAAGTTTTGCTTGTTTTCTTACTATTAAGCACAAAATATTGCTTTGCATTGTCTGCCACATCTAGAGATGATAATTTAGCCCGAAAATGATGGTTTTGATCCGGTCCGATTTAATAGAGTCGTATTTTTAAAAAGAATTTGGGTTCGGATTGGACTTTTAAGGGAGTGAGGTTAGGTTGGGTTGGGTTTGGGTAGAGGGTGAATTTTTTTACCTGATCTGACCCGAGATAATAATGTAATTTCTTTAAAAAAAAATACTATTTTTTAATTAAATTTTTATTTTATACCGGATTGGGTTGGATTGTATTTATATTCTAAAAATCCGGGTTGAATTGGACTTGGGTGGATGATATATATTTTTCGAGTCGGTTTGGATTGGATAAATGATTAATAATTTTTGAATCGAATCAAATTCGGGGTGAATGATACATATTTTTAGGTCGGATCAGGTTGAAAAAAAACCCACATAGTTCGACCCGTTGCCATCCTAGCGACATCATTAATGACTCGCAAGCAAATCGATAATTATTAAAGAATTTATAAATAAATATTCAAAGCTAATTAAAAATTAATGATAAATAACTACTATTACAATAATTTATAATTATGTTTAAATAAAATTTTAGTATTTATTATAGGTGTTTAATTTTTCTTGTTTTTTCAATAATAACATATATTTTTTAAGGTTTGTGTCACAAGTGTTGTAATTGTTAAATAAATATTTTTTATTCTCAGATAAAATAAATAAAAATGTAGTAAAGAGAAGGATCGATCCGCAAGAACCAAGGAGTTTTTAATACTAAATTGTTTTGATCATGTTTTAAAAGAATATGATAGATTAAAAATTGTGTTTAAGTCTTACTTTGTCTTAAATCAAAATTATTATCAAAAGAGATTTTACTTCTGGATATATGTTAGTTATAATTTACAAGACTTAACCCTCGTTATTTATTTAGACTATTCACGACTATCGTCGTTAGTACCAATACAATTTTAAGTGCTGGAAAAGTTTATCTCGGGTTATGGTGTCTCATTTAAAATCAAACTCGATCTCTATTCATCTTAGTGGACCGTTGTTAAGTTTATTCATAAGAAGTTGAATTACGACTAATCAATTCTTTCTCCCAAACTGTAAATCGAAACACATTCAAGAGATGACTGAGTGTCAAATTTGTCAAATTGAGTTTTTAGAAAATCAAGAATATTATCCGAAGATATTAAATGTTTTTCAATTACCACAATATCAATTGAGTCATTGCTAAACCTTTTAACTAAATAAAAATTTCCCTAAACATGATTAAAATCATACTTAATATTTTTTAAAATAAAAATAAAAATGTACAAATAAAGATGAAGAAAATAACTTTTAATAAAATAAAACTCGAAAAGAATTTTATAAATTAAAAGAGAATTACAAGATAAACTTACTAAAGATAAAAGAAAATATTCAAAATAAAATAGAATATCCTAATAACAATTCAAAAGATTTATTCCAAAAGTATTTATCTTAAAGATTCAAACTTAAAATCCCTAAATAATTTTGTCGGTCTCTTCCTAGAAAATGCTGACTCGATCATCAGATTCTGCCATGTCGAAAATAGTAGTGTCCGTGACTTCAGCCACGATTATTAAAGTAGAAAAATACAAAATTCATCATTTTATATTTTATAGTTGTCTTTAGAAAATAAGTTCATATAAAAAACAAATAAAAACAGAATCAAATCAATAACATCAAATAAACAACGAGAAATAATTATCAACAAAATACATACAAATCTAATCACTCGTGGGTGTGACATCAATTATGGTCCCATAACAAATATTGGTTTTGAGCACGTGTTGAAATTAGAGGTTTTGTTTTGTTGCTTTATAAAATATCCTCAGTATTGAAACGTCCAAGTATCAGTGCGGCACTAAAATTTTTATAAATGACGTTGAATATTTTCAAATTTTATTAAAATTAACTTGGACTTTAATTTTTATCATTATAAAAATGTTCGATTAAGTAATTTTATATTTCATAAAATTTAATTATTTTGAATATACGGTCCGGATGGGTATATTTGTGAGTATACAACAGGCAATTAATCCAGGAACCATGAATACAGTGCAAAAAAATCTTGAGCCATGTCAATGGAATATCAGAATCTTACTGTATATCTGGGGAAAACCGGTGACTTTAGCAGCTAAAAATCGCCAAAATCATAGATTATCCCAGAAACGATGACGGTGAAAAAGCGTCGCCGGCGTTTCCATCGTCGAAGTCGTCGTCAACCGGCGGAGGAGGTAACATTTGCGGCGGCGTAGGAGTGTAGAGTTGATCGACGCTAGGCAAATAAAAGCTATAATCGGACATCCCATGACAATTGGTATTATCCAACATGCTCAAAAACGACCAATCCATATAGTCATGATGACCACTCTCCGCCACTTGTGCTGTCACAGCTGTCACATCCGACACCGACACCGATGAAGATGACGTATATTGTTCTGTCCCTATCCTGTTGTTATTATTATGGTTATCGTCACCGCCGGTTTCCACCTCCCTGGCGAACCTAGCCGCCGCCACCTGAATCTCTGGTGGACTAAGCGACCTCCCGCCGGCGATATCAGGTGGGTTTTCCGGGAAATTGAACTTAGCATCGCGGCCACGTAAACAATAAAGCGCAGCGTCGAACGCCCTTGCCGCTTTCTCCGCCGAGTCATAAGAACCTAACCAAATACGTTCGCGGCTGTTGGGAAGCCTGATTTCGGACACCCATCTCCCCCATTTCCTCTTCCGGACACCCTTATACTTTGAAGTGTTACTACCATTACTACCGTTTATGTCGACATACTCCGTCGGCGATGCTGAAGATGATTGTTTGCAGATTGTCGGCTTCACCATCAATTGAAAAGCTTGAAATTTTAACTTGCAAAATGATCCCTTCGGTTGTTCATTTTTGCAACAAAATATATATTATATATATTGGTGGGGGAAGGTTTGACGAGTGAAGACCGGAGGTGAAGTAAGTGAGTATCGTTTTCGTTGAAAATCGAAGCGTGTTGAAGAGGAGTAAAGGGAGCGGATACTTGGCGGTCTAAGCACAGCTATCAAACGCGGTGGGGGACCGGAGACGAAAACCACGTGCATGAAATCTTGTCGCCTCGCGTCTTAATTGGTCTAATTCTGTTTCCTGTCCCTCTACTCTTCAAGACCTTTAAAATTTAGTTTCTCAATTTGTTTTTTTAAACAATCCTAGGTGATTAAAAGGATTAAAAGGTATGCTATTTATTCATATGCATCTGCTCGAACTTGAGTCTTTAGAAGAGAACAAAACAACATTCACTCTTATTATTGAAGTTAGGGCTGTAAACAAGTTGAGTCGAGCTCGAATATTGCTGAGCTTGACTCGACTAGAAAACTTACGAGCCTAAAATTTTCGAGCTCGACTCAAATTTTTAACCATGAATTGAAGCTCGTAAAAGCTCGAAATGAAAGAAAAGATCTTAAACTTAACTCGATTGAAGCTCAAACTCAAATTCGAGCTTGAACTTTAAATACATTTTATATTGTATTTTTTAAAAAATCAACGCATAAATGTTAATATTATTAATAATTTTTTTAAAAATAAATCTTAATACATTATGTTTTCGAGGTTGTTTCAGCTCGTTATGAACTCGAGTCGAGCTTGAGTTTGAGTAGAATCCATTCGAGTCGAGTATTTATCGAGCTTTGACCGAATCAATCTCAAATAACTCACGATCCTTCTTGTCTCATTTACAACGCCCCTACCACTCAATAGATTATAGTTTTTTAACTTGTAGTTATTGGAAGTTAATTTAATATTAATAAAAATAATTTTGAAGACCTACGAGTAAAGCAATAGTTACGCTAACTTGTTTGGCGGCTGAATATTCATTTTGGATTTCCCGTTTAATCGATTGGACCCACAATTCGGTTATTTTAAAAAGATATTAATTAAGAAGAGTTTATGAATAAGTCAAATAATTTAATTATAAAGACTTGTATTAATATGTGTGTCTGGCAGTAAAAAATAATTATCTTATAAAATATTCAATATTTTAATATTTTAAATTATATATCTTAAAGTCTGTCTAAAACAAAAAGAGAAAATAACCTCAGTGACAAAAAATGCCTTATAATATACGATTTTAACCAACTTTTTTTGGATTTGCCAAAATGACCAACTAAATCGCAATGCGATCGATAATTCGCAACGCGATCTCCGGTATCGCAAATCAGTTTCCAGATTCGCAACGTGATTCTTACTATCGCATTGCGATTTCCCAAATTCGCGTTGCGATTTTCCTAATTCGCGTTGCGATTTTCATAGCGCCATTCGTATTAACGCGTATTTTTTTTCAAATTCCAAACACGAATATATTAATATATCGGAAACTGAACCGTCCACAGTATATCCCGTAATCACAACTCATAACCTAAAACCTAAAATCAAAACTCAGTCACTTCTCCATCTCTCACTCTCTACGGCGAAATCCGTCCCCATCTCCGAAGATTTCCGTCCCCATCTCCGGCGAAATCCCTCACAACCATTCACGGTCAGAAATCCCTCACAATCATTCAGAAATGGAAAATCAACCTCCGAGGGTTAGTTTTTTTAATTATTTTTATTTTAAAAATTTTGCATTATTTTAGGTTTTTCATATTGAAATTGATGATAAGTTTACTGATAATTTCAATAATAGATTAACCATTTCACTTAGATTTCTTATTAAATTCATTCGATTGCTGCCAATACTGCTAAACTGTTTAGTCTTTAACCCTGTGAAGTTAGTATTTGTCTTTGTTTTGTCTTTTGGTTGAAGTAATGCAGAAGAAGAATAGTTTCTAAACTTAAAATCGAAACATGAAAATGAAAATCGCAACACGAAAATGACTATCGCAATGAGAGAATCGCAACGCGAAATGAAAATCGCAACGCAAAACCAAAATTGCATTGCGATTTTCATTTCGCGTTGCGATTATCTCATTGCGATAGTCATTTCCGCGTTGCGATTTTCATTCTCTCGTTGTGATTTTCATTTCAACCAAAAGACAAAACAGTGTTGTAAATTTTAGTTTCAAGAATAAACTACTATTTATGTTTATTGTTTTTGGTATATCTTCATAGTGTAGTTTTTTGGTATATATAACTTGGTATGTTTATTGTTTTTGTAGAATTTTTTTCGGCTTCATTGACATTAAGGAATAAAGTTAGCCTAGCCACTACAATTGCTTCGAAGCTTTCACCTGCACAAAGAAAATTGTTTGAGGAAATCTGCTTCAGGCCATGGCTGAGAGTACAGCATCCGGGTGGAGATGCTAATTTGACCCATTTGTGGCTTCAGACCATGACTAGCGATCTACCCGACAGTATACAACGTGGTGAGGAAGAGATATGGTTTCATTTTCCACCGGCGTATACTTATTTTGGGCGGAAGGAGTTATGCTTAATCACTGGTCTACGATTCGGACACGATGATGTAGGCCGGTACACTCGTCATATCACCCGCCCATCATGGTTATCCAGGGTTTTTCCTGATGAGTCAATAAAGAAGCCGAACTTACACGTCGACGACCTGAAGAAATTGTTTAATAAGAAAGATGGTTTTACTCGGATGAATGACGTCGATGTTGTCCGAGTATGCATTCTAGTACTTTTGTATGCCAGCTTTTTAGGCAGAGAGGCCAGACAACCTATTCCTCAGGAGCTAATATTATTGGTAGAGGACCTAAATGCATGGAATCTGTTTCCGTGGGGTTCATATATATGGAAAGCTACCTGGACTAAGTTGTCGTCTACCTTTGATGACCGCAAAAGTTTGCGTGGCAATGGGTCGAAATACACTTTGTCAGGCTTTGTTTGGGCCTTTAAGGTAAGAATTTCTATATAATGTTTTCAAAATTATAATTAATTATTTAACAATTACTAATGTTTGTTATTATATTGTTTGTAGATTTGGATATTCGAGGCTTTCCCCAGCATGCGGACATATGCATTAAAAACTTCAAATGATATTCCTAGGGCTATTTCCTGGAAGAGGAAACGTCTGTTGGATTGGGAAGACTTAATACCATATGCGACAATAAATAATGTAAGTTAACACAAATACTATCATATATAACCAAGTTATTAATAGTATATGTTTAACTTTGTTTGAGTTTTTATATTTTTAGGAGGCCAACACTCCATTAATGAGACTGCACCCACGGAGGCTGAGCTTGCCACTGATTGGTGGCAAGCTAGTCAGCGTTTTCTTGATGGCACGAATGATGAGCAGCCTCCACTTCGAGAGCCATCACCTCACCCAGAGCCATCACCTGATCGACCCGACTATACACCTCTACAACGAGAGCCATCACCTATCCCGCCACATCATCGAGCCTCTTCTCCACGACTTCATACTCTACGCAACGAGGAAAGTTTAAGATTTTCCATATTTAACTTGATGATAAATTTACTCATAATTTCACTTAGATTAACCATTTCACTTAGATTGCTTAGTAAATTTATTCGGTTGCCTCCAATACTGCTAAACTGTTTATTAATACTGTGAAGTTAATATTTGTCTTTTGTTGTCTTTTGGTTGAAGTAAATTTATTCGGTTGCTGCCTAAAATGTGTATTCTTTAACATTGTGAAGTTAGTATTTGTCTTTATTTTGTCTATTGGTTGAAAGTAAATTTGTTCGGTTGCTGCCAATTCTGCTAAACTGTGTATTCTTTAACACTGTGAAGTTAGTATTTATCTTTGTTTTGTCTTTTGGTTGAAAGTAAATTTGTTCGGTTGCTGCCAATTCTGCTAAACTGTGTATTCTTTAACATTGTGAAGTTAATATTTGTCTTTGTTTTGTCCTTTGGTTGAAAGTAAATTTGTTTGTTTGCTGTCAATTCTGCTAAACTGTGTATTCTTTAATACTCTGAAGTTAGTATTTGTCTTTGTTTTGTCTTTTGGTTGAAGTAATGTAATCCATTCAAGTTTCAATTTGCAGAAGAAGAAGAAATAGTTTATTATTGAAACTATATTTTAGCAAATCTTTTGGTTGAAATGAAAATCGCAACGAGAGAATGAAAATCGCAACGCGAAACGAAAATCGCAACGCGGAATGAAAATCGCAACGCGAAATCAAAAATCGCAACGCGAAACTATAATCGCGTTGCGATTTTCATTCCGCATTGCGATTCTCTCGTTGCGATTTTCATTTCGCGTTGCGATTCTCTCGTTGCGATTTTCTTTTCGCGTTGCGATTTTCATTCTCTCGTTGCGATTTTCATTTCGCGTTGCGATAGTCATTTTTCACGTTGCGATTTTAAGTTCCAGAAACTATTCTTCTTCTGTAAATTGAAACTTGAATGAATTGCATTACTTCAACCATTAGACAAAGACAAATACTAAGTTGATAGTGTTGCAAGTTTGAAACATATTTGTCTTTGTTATCTGATGCATTTTGTGAACCATGATAGAATAATGACTTGGGTGAATTCAATGCAAGTTTGAAACATATTTGTCTTTGTTTTCACTGTTTAAATATCATGTCTGTTTATTTACTGATTTTTGTATTTAATTATTTAGCGGCCCGATAAGGTGGATGCTTTACGTCGGGTTTTTCTTGCACGACAGAGTTCACGCATCAGACGACGTGCACGTGCTATTAAGTCTCCGTACACCCCAATAGTGCGAAGACACCGCAAGAAGAAGCCCGACTAGCCTGTCATCCCTCAAGAGTCCACTCCTATCGTTGAAGAGGCCCATATCATTCCTCGAGAGTCCCCTCCCACCGTTCAAGAGGTCACTGTCATCGTTGAAGAGGTCCCTCCCACCATTCAAGAGCCCGATTCACATGGCGTCATATGTAAGATTCTTGAAAAACCCTCTGACGTACCGGACATGATGGATGATAGTTGGCTCTCGTATG